TAGCCTTAAATGATGAGGCTACTGCTACAGGTCCTGCCCAAAAAGCAGAATACAGCCTACTCTAAACTTGGCACTGCTGTGGCAAAACAATTAGGGATAGCTGGAGAGGCAGTCCCACTGCTGCAGCTGCCCAGCTCACACAGCCTAGGTCCCTACGCAGAGCTACTCTTTCCCACTGTGTTGCAGGGGGTTCACGTGCCTGATAGATCTCTAGTTTGGACAGATAATGTGAACAGAACTAGGCAGCACTGCCAACATCAGCCACAGGATAGGTGGAGAGCAAGTAGGATGTCATCACCCAAAAGTTCGTGAGGCAACCACTACCCTTGCTCGGCACAGCATTCCTGCCAGTGCAACATAACAAACAGCTGCTTGATTTTTGCAGATGTCTGTACAAGATTTCCCATCCTCAGAGTGTCCCTTTTCTCCTGTTTTCTGTTTGGTTTGACACCTCAAACTACTGTTTTTCAGCTGGTTTCAAAAAAGCAGCAAAAAATCAGTATAGGTTGGGTAAACATAGTGGACACTCCCCAGAAGGTTCATAAACCTTCCACTAAGCTATCCAGAGCTTCAGTTTTCTACCAAAGTGCCTGAAAACAATTTTTCTGCTTTCCCATTTCATTAGGAGGCTGTTGCACAGCTCTAACACTGATATTGCAGTAAAGACTTTTCGAAGCTACTGATTGGCACGTCTTTTCCATTTATTTTCTAATAAAAAAGAATCATACACACTAAGCTTTCTAAAAAGCAACTGTACTGGCACTTAGCCACAGCGGAAAGCACGGCAAAAGCCCCTGATGCTTTTACTTTACAATAAATTCAGACAGCTTTGTTTACAAACGGGACTGACCTTTCATTTAACTAATTTTTTAAAGAAAATCCAAGAAAATTTATTAGTCCACTGTGTCAAATACATTCTCTGAGCAACAAACAGACCTCTGATCCCTTTTACTTGCGTCCAGACATTTCAAAACTGGTTCAGTAGGTGTTTTCCCATTTCCAGTTAATGGGAGCTTATCATGGTTTATACACTGATCCTGTTCCCTTTAAAATTAACCACATCTCCAAGGTGCAAGATTAAAAAGGAGTGCTCAAAACCATTAGTTTTTTTCACAAAGTCTCCCCTTGGCCCCACAAATCACATTTCCGTAGCATCACCGCAGCAACAAAGTGCAAGACTTTACCAAAATCCCTCCAAAATTCCCAATTTACCTTTTTCCACCTTTTAATTCAAGCTTCTAACTATATTTGTGCAAAAGACCAGAAGATGTTGCATACAGGTATAACCAAATGACAGCTGTCTTCATCAAATCCCTTTTGCAGTCCTGGAAGCATTGGGAAGCACTTTATGGCAACTTATTCCCTGAAGAAGTGCTTGAATGGCTGCAAGTTCCCAGCCCCAGGGAAAACCTGACTGGTGAGAAGCAGGACGAACTTCAGCAACCACAGGGATTACGGTGCTGGAGGAGAACACGAAGGAGAAAGTTTAATTCCTTGTTGTGAGAGATTTCACCAAAGGCTTGAACTTCTATCTCCTGCATCACACTCAGGTGCTCTCCTCTCACAATTAAGTTAATTGCCATTTGTTTTTTCACTTTTCTTCTCACTTTCTACATCTTTAAATGTTGGTCAAGAGGGGAACAGCCCCACCCAGCAAGCTCAAAGAGGCAGGGGCTTCCAGGTCTAACTGAGCTGTGGCTTGAAGCCAGTTGCCCCTTTACCTCCCTGCCCAGCAGGCAGGGTTTCATCTCCTGAAATCTCCCCTCCTCATGTTTCTTCACAACATCATTTATAAAACTCTCCTTTTGCTTTGATGAAGAATGAAAACCAGACGTGCTAATCCTCACTTTTTCATGAGGAAATCTTCCATTACCATTTCCTGCCAACCCCAACTGTTGCCTTATTAACATGCATATATTTCAAGGGTACAGACTGCCTCACTGGTAGTGGAAATTTAGATAGGAATTTTGGAGCAAGGACACAACATGCAACACAATGAAGATCTAGATAGGGAGAAAATTTGGGCTATCAATATTTGTACAAATGTGTTTCTATATTATACATGATTTCTGCAAAACAGGGAGTATTTCAAAAAATTAAATTGTCCTGAAAGAAAAAAAATGGAAAATATAAAAACAGGAGGAGACAAAATGAAGATATTTCTAAAAGAAAGGGACCTTTAAAAGTACAACGACGGGGCAGGCTATAGTGAACTTAAATACCAGCCTGCAATAAACTCCATGTAACAGGATCCCTCAACCTAGTCCAGCTCTTAGGGAGGTTTCAGCTCCACTTTCCAGGCATATCTCTTCGACCTTGTCTCTGTCACATAAACAAACTGAAATGAACATATGTTTTTAAGTTTGTTTCTGAAATAACCAGACTGAAGCAGAAATACTGCACTGCCTACACTACTCTCCCCCCACCTTCCTCAGGGGAGAGAGCAGAGAAAAACCATGCGTGTTAGTCATATCAGATGAAGTGCTACAGCGACGAGGATTTATACAAAACAGAGACAAAAAAAGTCTGTTGGTCCCAGCTGCGGGTGAACAATGAGCTGTGAGACCAGGCAGTGACTGAGTGCCAAGGCTCACTCACCTCCAGCCCCGACGGACTCCCCAAAGTACACATCAGCCCTGCGAGTGTGCGAGAAATCACCAGGCGCGTTGCAGGGACTTGTCTGCCCTCTGCAACGTGCAGAGCTGAGGATGTGCACCAAGAGAACCCTGTAAATGAATTGGGCAGGAGGGGCAAGGTATTGCTGCCCCAGACTCTGCTGCCCTTTCACAACAGAGGTGGACCACACTCAAGGGACTGACTACACGTACAGAGGAGGTGTTTTTGTCCATCAGAGGAGGTTATAGCAGCCCAAGAGGTGCCCTGACAGCCTCATATGTAAAGATCAAGGATCCTGCAGTTCTGATCATAGTAACAACTTCAAAAGGAATTACCTCTAATATCAATAAAGGCTGGGGGATCAAGGGATCGAGACCAGCCCTGACGAGGACTTCAAGGTAGTGGAGGATGAAAGACTGGACATGACTCGACAATGTGGGCTTGTGGCCCAGAAAGCCAACCATGTCCTGGGCTGCATCAAGAGACGAGCATTCTCACACTACTGCAACTACATCATTACCTATGAAAACAAACTGACTGCGTCTACATCCAGCCCTTTCTTTTCTACCCTAGACACTGAGCCCTGCAGATCCTTTTCCTGTCATAGGCCTGCTTGTTCCTTGAAATATAGGCTGCATGCTCTCCATGGATTAGAAAGACATTTTATACCTGTGCCTACAATAAGTGGAACTATATACCTGAAATGGAAGCTTGGTTTTTCAGGAAAGTCAAAAATTCAGACGCATGGAATTTCTAATAATCATTATTATACTCACAAATGGATTTTCTCATTTCTCAGTTTGGAGACTCAAAAGTTTTAAGGAAGTCTTATCCGAAAGACATATCGAATTGGTAGGAGAACCCAAACCTTCCTGTCAAAACTGTCATTTAATGAGCCTACAAGTAAGATATAAAATACTTCTGTAAATGAAGGAAGATAAAAAAACTGAATTTCCACTTTGGAGAATTTTACTTGTTGTCTGCCTATAACAACAGTACTGTGCATAACTAGTGGAATTGCTGTCACAGTGTCAGGTCTGCAGAGAATATATAGCTATTTATTTTTTAAATGACTAAAAATTTCAGGATCTAGCACTTCAAAGGCACTGTGCCAACAATGGAAAAAATTTACTTTGCAAAATTTTAGAAAGCTCAAATTGGCTTTAAAACATTTAATAAAATTTTATGATACAATCCTACCCTACAGCGACCATTAATCCCATATGTCTATGGGAGATACCACGTAACCTATGAAAGCTGGAAGAAAACCTTTTGTTTTGTTTCCAGTCTATAGTGTTTACTGAAGCAATTACAGGAGATTTAACAAATCATCTCAAAAAAAGAAGTTGCTGCAAGCTCCCCTTTCTTGTTATGACAGGCAGCCCCATGACTTATTCTGGGTTCTAGCCCCAGCTCTACCCCAGCTGTTTTTCCAGTCTTATGCAAACAAGGAATAGTTCATTTATTTCTGTTTCCTAATCCCAAATTTTATCACTACCATTTGATTTGCAGAGATGCCACACAATGCCCCGGAGAGAGCAGGTTTAACATCATGCTGCCTCATTGCACAAGATGACACAAGGCATGGAAAAGTGGTAGGGTAGAAGGTCAAGATTTTTATAAAAGATAGCTATTTGGGCATAAGTTTGAATAAGGCTGCCAATGAAGTTCCAGCAGGCAAGGTGGTATGGAAGACAAGCGATAGGCTCATAGAGCTTGGCAGAATGTGATAAGTGGGTTTCACAATACATCAGGAGATTTCTCAATTTGCCAATGTACATGTGAACACCAAAAATTCAGTGGCAATGTGGGAAAAGAAAAGCAGAAGATGAATTTATTTTTTTTTTACCTGGGCTGCAAAGCAGACAAAAGGAATGGCCATTGCAAATTGAGAGTGTACTGAAAGTAAAAAACCATCTTTGTGGTCTGCATGCAGCACCTTGGTACTAAACGTGGAATGAAGTGTTGAACACAGCCGTAAATTCCACCAGCCCTGATAAAACCTCTGTTCATAAAGCACAAGCACTCAGGTGGGCTTCACCTCCTTTGGCAGCACCATTCTGCTCCCACCAGCACTGCCCTACTCCTGGGCTGCTGTGATGGTCCCCTTCTGGCATGACAGCTCCAGGACAAGGACTAACTCATGAAAAGATGAGCTTATCTGTTCTTTTAAATTATTCTGGCACACCTTGAAAAGTGTGCAGGTAGGGTAAAGAGCATCAATGGGATGCTTTAAAGTCTAATCTTCTAAATCCCTGTTCGTTCTGACACAGAGTACTGCCCACTAGCAGGTGGCACCAGCAAAACCCAAAATACCATCTGTTTTTAAAGCATCCACGGGAAATACCTGCAAGCAAAGAAATCAGTAGGCTGTTAGATTTTACCTGTGGGGTTCTCTTTACAAGCTATTAGTTTCCTCCTCGTGACATTGGCTCCTGCCCAAGTGAGATGTACTTCAAAGGAAGAGCTTCCCCAGTAGAGCTGGAAGTGCAGTCACCAACAGGGACAGGCCACTATGGGACCCTCATCTCCAAGCCTATGTTGCTTTCACTCTTTTGAAGAGTAAAAGATAAGAAAAAGAAACTGCAAGTGCTTGTTCCCTGCTATGTTTTCTTGTGGCTATTTGCCATGTGGTGCACTGAGGAAAAATGTTGTGCGATTTTCGTGCAGTCCCGACTGCAAGAAGGTGCTGGTGTAGCCCTGTTGCAATTAGTCAGATATGTCTGCTTGTTGCTGGAGGCAAGGAAAGAAACAACATGCCAGTGAGGCTCCTAAAGAAGGTAACATGGAAAACAGCTGCTTATCCAGTGCAAGGAAGCAAAATGATCATTCATCAGAGCTGAACTAAGAACTCCTGTACAGCCCTGAGATGGACCCAAGGGAGCCGTGTGAAGTTACACATAAGGTAAACACAGGAGTTGGCTGGAATAGGAGTCATGTACTGAGGTGAACCCCTGACCAAGCTCTGCATTAAAAGGAGACAAGGGAAATCTCGCATTTTTGGAAGGCACTAAGATCTGTCCCAAGAGCTTGATTTGAATTAAAGGACTCTCGGTGAGTCCCTCCCCCTGAATCATGAGTTAAAAACCCCAAACCTCAAATTCTCAAAACGCCTTAGTTGCATGATACAGACAGTAACCTCCCATGGTGTCTATCCCTCTTCTGGGCGAGGAAGAAATGCTACACAGAGGGAGCCACCACCACTGCTCTCTCTGGAAGTAAAAGAGGCTGTGAATGTATGATCACCTCTTCTCAGGCTGCCCCTTCTACCACTACTTACTTAGCCCTGGGTGCAACACACAGGGTATTTCCCACCGGCATCAGGGGATGGCATGCTGGAAAACATCAAGACAGGTCTTAGATTTGCAGGATGCCAAAGGAAAGGGCTTTATATTGAACAGGATCAAACAGCAGGACAGACTAACTGAAGTGAGATATGAGGACACTTACTCAGGGCCAAAGGTTAATGCCTCCCCACATGATGAGGGTCGGTATCTGAAGAATCCAGAGGCCACTATGCAGCTACTGACCTTTGCCCCGAGATCTGAGAGGCATTGCTCACCAGCTCCCAGGTCGGGCATGTGCCATAGCAAAGATAGTCTGGAGCAGAAACTGAGATACTATAGCTAGAAGAAAGAGATAACATCAGTAAACAGATCGTGATGGGGGAAAATAAGCTGGCTTCTGGCTTGGTTTGTTGTAAGCCCTGCTAACACCAAATTGGAGCATGAGGACAGCGCCCAAAGGACAGCAGGCTTGTGAGACAGTGCCTATGTAAATGACACCCATAAAGAAATAGGGGATTACCTTTCCAGAGATTACCTTTCCAAAGGATTACTTTTTCAAATTGAGTCTCTCTTTTGCTCTCCCCACAGTTCCTGATCCTCCAAAGGAGCTCCTGGTCCTCCATGGGGCTTTTCAGGCCATAAGTAACACTCCTTGGAAGGTAATGGATCAACTCAGCTCCTGAATCATAGAATCAGTTGGGTTGGAAAAGACCTCTGAGATCATCAAGTCCAACCCTTGATCCACTACCACCGCGGTTATTAGACCATGGCACTAAGTGCCACATCCAGTCACAGAAGAGGACCCCAACAGGAAAAAGGATACATTTTACAGGCTGTACTGCTAGTGCTGGCTGCCCTTCTGCTGTGCCATAGGTAATGTGTGGTGGTGTATAAACAGCCTGGCTACTTTTGACCCTGGTGTTGTGAAGTTTTGCTTCCTCTACTCCCATCAAATGTGGGAGCTCTCCCATGTGGCTGCTGCTTCTGGTACAGCATCCTCCACAAATGCATTCAGCTACTACCATCCAAACAAGAGGGGGATTAAAGTGCTGAGCAGACTCTTACTATTTGCACAGCCACCCGCCATGGCACCCCACAGCACCCAGCACCAGGGCTGTCGCAGTGTTCATTCCAGCTGATGCCACAGCCTGGGGCTCTGCACCTGTTCCAAGGTGTCATGGGAAGAAGAACAGACCAGGATGGCCACTGCCAGGCTGGCCTATGGGGAAGCCCCTGTGCCTTGATGCAGTGCGAGCGCATTTCCACAGCCACTGGAGTGGTGGCACAATAATCTGGAGCAGCTGCAACATTCCTCTTGTATCCCAGGAGTGATCAAAGGCCTGCAATAGCTTCACTTTTTCAGTGTTACTAGAAGAATGGAACAGTGTCAAGGATACATAGGAATTTCCCTTTTATCACAGCTGGAGCCACAGAGCATTTATAGGAAGCAGAAGGGATAAGTGATCCAGTCATCAAGTATTTTCCGAAATCTCTCTACAGACACAGGTAGTAGGCACAATTTTCTCCCTGTCCTCATACTCTCCTTAGGGATCCAGCAGAAGTGTTGTACCAGTTCTGGAAAAGTTGGGCCAGATGAGGTCTTTGGAGGTCAGGTACTGCTTTGTGGGACTTGCAGTGAAGAGTTTCACTAAAAGTATAAATATATTATACTCCAATCACTGCTAAGCTGTAAGTCTTTAAAGTATTAAAGCAAACTTTGGTCTTTCAAAGAAGAACTTACCAAGAACAAGTCCTTAGCAGACATAAAAATAATCAAAATAAAACAAGAACACATTATTTAAGCGTTTCATTGTTTGCCAGGTATCTTACATGCACCATGGGAGCTAGGGAAAAAAGGTCTTTGCACAGAAACTGCTAAGAACACCTATTATATCACACTTCCCACAAAGCCCAGGCTGTTATCATGACAGGGATCACCCTCGTGCAACAAGCATGATCAAAAAGATCATGAATGCTTCCATATGAAAAACTCCTTGGTCACTAAAAGAAGGAATCGTGCAGACAATGCAAGATTAAGGTGAGATGTAACCCTCATCTCACTGGGTGTGCTTAAGAACTATACTGTGACACGTGATGATGTGAATATAGAACAAAAAGATGCTACAACAACTAGTAGAAGTGTTGTCCAGTTCAGCTTACATAATTTGTTACCACACTGGAAAACATAGCAAGAAGAAAAAAAGCAACTTCACTTCATGTATAGCCACCTACTAAACACGACATAGACCTTATTTCTGAGAGCTTAAAAGTGAAACTAGAGCTTTTCCTTGATGCATTGGTTTATCATATTTAATGGCAAAAATGCAAAAGAAATATTAGTCTTAACACATGCTACCAAAATCTCTAAGCTAAATAGTTGAAAATATGCAAGTAGATATTCCACGTGCAGGACAGACACATGCTATTTTATGTGAGTTATTAAAGGACTAGGCTGAAAATATGCAGACTTTAAGACCATGTTTTAAGAAATTTTAACTAAAAACACATGCAGAGTATGCATGCTAGCAGATAATTGCACAGAGTGGAGCACGATGCATACAGAAAATAGAAACTGTAGCAACATGCACTTTTTATCTAATAAATACATGTATTATAGAAGTACTTCCAATTTTCCTTTTTAAAAAAGCAAATTTTTAGGCGCTACAGGTCAGCCACCTCTAGAATCTCTCTAATCTAATCTACAATGTGTAAACACACCCAGATTGAGAAAATTCAGAATACTATTTTTAACACATTCCCTTGTCCAAACCTAAAGTTTGGAAAAAAATAAAAAGACAACCTACAAATGTCCAAGAAAATATGAAACCTAGAAGATGGCAAGGCCAGTCCTTCTCCGTCCATGGCTCCTTCTTCCAAGAACTAGGGAGTCTATATTTAAAGGCCTCGCACATTTTCCCATGTTCCCAGGATACTCAACAATTTGAGATAAAATGAGTAAAAGGGTCACCTCTTTACCTGAAAAGATCGCTGACAAGGTTTGTTCAGGTAAGGAGGCCGTTAAGTACTTTCTTTACCTGGGATTTCTGCAAGTTCTTAAAGTAAGAATCCTCAGACGTCTGACCCACTTTTCCTCCAAAACTTAGATCTAACGTTCTATATTTTCAATTTATATTATTTGTGTCTGGATACAGAGGACAGGGAACAAAACACATGCAAGCATAAGACACTGTTTCTCTTTACTTGCCTGAGAGGACTAATGGAACTATAAAACTCTGCACCATCAATACAGGAATCACAAACCTCCCTTAGTTGCTTTTGAAGGTGTTCTTGTGTGCTTTACGAGCTTTGCTAGAGAAGGCAAACTTGGGTTGATAGGATGGCAATACTCACTACTTGTTAATAAGATCAGGCTGAGACTTCGTTGTTTTTATTTCCTAGAGAAAGAACTGAGATCACATCTGCATTTTATAAAAGCTCCTGAATAGTTACTGATCAACACAACCAGCAGCCAATGCTTTGCCTCTAGAAACTTGCATTGTTTTGCATTTGGAATTGCTAGATACTATGTCCTCATAAAAAGTCTGGCTAAGTCATTTAAGCTCTGAAACTGAGAGCTGCATGCACTCCCCTGAACAGCTAACAGAAATTGTTACTAACAAGAAGTGTATGTGATAAGGCTCTGGGCTGTATTATTTGGCTTCCTTTGTTCTTTAAAGGATACTCATTGTCAGCTCAAAACCTGCTAGTATTTCTAGCTTCTGTGAAATAAAGCTCTTTTGAGTTAGTAACTCAGATGTAAATGAGAAAAAAATGCATTTTCCTATCTGTTTTCTGGGGTTTAATATAAAATCTGCAAATGCATTAGAACAGCAGGGTAGGGAGCCAGAGGTGCTATGGGACTTAAAAAGTCTTATATGTAAAAAGTCTTCACACTATTTGCTGTCAGTTAAGGTGCAGGGGAGGGGGGAGTAAAACCCTCTGCCTCTCTCCAATTTCTCTGACAAACACATTGGCTGAATTTTATAAGGACTAGTCTAGCAGTGAAGCTACAAGTAAGGTGACTTTTGCCTGTTACCCCAAGGCTGTTTGTTATCCGCACCCTGACGGGTGCTGTAGCAGAGAAGGGTGCCTGTCTTGCCTCGTGGGTGACAGACCGCTTCGCCTGCCTGTTCCTAGAAACACAAGTCCTTTTCCTGTTGAAGCTCCCTGTTCTCTGAATTATGGTAGGTCCATCAATCCTTTTTCCACAGTTGCTGTTGAAGGCTATCACGTATCAGACTAGTGTACTCCTGCCAGAGAGGCTCACTTGCTTGTTTGCCCAGGACAGGCACCACCGAGGCAGTCGTTCTTTGCTTAGCTCAGGATCATGCACAGCTTAGGGCACACACATCACTCTGTTCCCAGAGCACGTGAGCAAACTGGATGTGTTCTGATCCCAAAGCAAATGAGCAAACTGTGCCTTAAAAACTCCCCACAAGGTGTTGGATTGAGAGGAATTATGGAAAAGTGGGTTCTGGGGTGGACTGGAAATAAGGAGGTCTCTAAATGCCCTCTGCCACTTCAGACTCTTCTCTACTCACCCCATTTTCACCTCTCTCCATGCTTTTGCTCCTCTATTGGAAACACACGAGGATGAGGGCTGTAGCTCAGACATACAGCTAGAATCAACTTGTCCTCCAACAAACACAGAGTATGTTTAAGCATGATTGGCATGCGGAGAGGAGATAGGAGCTTCTCCTGTAGCAAGAAAACAGCAATCGGTTACAGGGGAACAGTGAGGCATAGGGGTGGTCATTGGATTTCCTTCCTCCACATCACACCTGCAGGTACCCACAGCTTGCAGTAACATACAGACAGGGTCTAGCAGGATGAGTGTGCCCACAGTAGTTTGCCCCAGCTTCCCCTCCTTGAGATGGAACCTAGTCACCTTACAGATAGCTCTTTGCATTGTGTTATTCAGGGAAAGCACAGACTGTCAGGAAAGCCTCAGTCACACTCAGTCCACCTTCCAAGGAGCATTTTACAACATCCTTTGTCCTGCAGGGCATCCTAGTTAGCTAGAAATTTTTGGGCTGGGATCAAGTTGGTTTGCACTTAGTCTTGAGCTTCTTGACACATTACTACCCATGAAAGTGGCAATTTTTCCATCTTCACTGGATACCCTATCTAACCAGTAACACTAAAAGGGTCTCTTGGTAGGGTATTCTTCAAGTTAGGTTCCCAGCCCTAGCAGCCACTAACCCTTTCCCTAAATGCAAACTAGTGTACACCTGTTGATTTCAAGAACCCTGCAAAGATAACTTATCACGATGGATCCATTAACCCCTCTTTGAATTGCATAATCCGCTGAACTATTACCATGCACAGAAAGCCAAGTGGGGTATTAGAAGAGATAAAATAATCTGCCAGGCTAAGCCACATCATTTTGGCTAAGAAATAATGCTCTCTGAGGGCTTAATTTCAGGCTGATCTGGGAAGACATAGAAGACCATACACTTCAAAATCAAATGGGGAGAACTCAGCATAGATACAGGACACAAAGCAGGTGGGTTAGGACAGGGTACATCTTGCAGAGTGGTGTAAAAGCATGGATGACCCTGAGTGTTTTACGAGGATCAGAGAAGAGTAAAAGCCATGTGTTGAATTTCATAAAGGACATTGTCCCTTTCTGGGCTATCAGCATTTGGAAATATATACACTTTTTTCTACAGTGGAGCAGAACCTGGTAGTGAGGAACTTGAGCCCATTCACCATAATCTGGGACTCACACTGAGGTAGAGGAACTACTCAGCAATCTGGAATTTCCTTCATTCTCTCCTTGCCTCTACAGTAGTGGGTTTCAGCCACTGGAAAGGAGGGGTGGAAACTGTCCCGGGTTTTACACCTCTGTGGGAAAAGTTCCAAGACCGAACACCCCAAACCGTGTGAAGTCGGTGCCCTGCTGCCGGTAGCTCCGGGCACGGTGGGCCGGGGGGGGGGTCCCTGGCAATGGGCAGCAGCACCACCCCAAGCTCCTCAGGGTGCAGATCACCCACCGGCTCGCCTTGAGGTTCACGTGGAGCAGCTTTCATCCCGCACTCAGCCCGTGCCTGACCTCGGGGGTCGCGCTGGGGCCGTCCCGGTGCGGGGCGGTGCGCGGGGCCGCGGTGGCCGGGGCGGGGCGGGGCGCGGGGCGGTGCGCGGCGGGGTGCGGTGGAGGGCAGCCGCGGGCACACGTGGCTCAGCCCCCCAAAAAGGCGCTCCCCGGCGGCGGGAGTGGGCAGTCCGTACCTCGGCCCCTGCAGAGCCGCTGCCGGTCCGCTCCGTCCAGCCATCGGTGGGTGCCGGAGCGCAGGGGCCGCGGTTGGCTGTGAAGCGGCGGCTCCCGCCCCCCTGCGGAGTCAGCCCCGGGTCCGGGGCGGCCCTACCTGCAGGCACGATGAACCTTACAGCCGAGAGCCACCGCATCCCGCTGAGCGACGGGAACAGCATCCCGCTTTTGGGGCTGGGCACCTACGCCGACCCCCAGAAAGTAAGTCCGGGGGCGCCGGGACGCCCCGCGCCGCTGGCGGGGGCAAGTGGCGGCCGCCCTCACTGCGGACCCCCCAACCGGGGCTACCTTCCTCCTTTCCTCCCGTCCCGGCTGCTTCTCTTTTTGCTCCTTTCCCCGTGCAAAGTTAAAGCCCCAGCTCTCCCGTGAGCAGAGCGGGCAGTGCGCGGCGCGCAGATGAGGAAAAGATCGGAAGAAATAAAAAAATCCCGCCCAGCCTGCGGTGTTGTGCAGCTGCCCCTGCCGCCCACCGCCCCGCATCGGTCCTGGGGTACCTGGGGTCGGGACGGTGCAGAGCAACTCCTGGGTTGGGAAGGGATGTGATCCCCAGCGAGCGCCGGCTCCCCGGCAAGCCGGCCGGGAGGGTCTCCCGGAGCCGGGAGGGACGGTACCCGCCGGGTCCCCCGGGTAGCTCCCTGCGCCGACCGTAGATAAGATGAGGGATTTCGGACCGTCTTGCAGCTGGCCTCGACACTTTCCAAGGAATGTTCCTGAAACAAAGACCCAAATTCCTGCATTCTGATTCCTGCGGCTCCCACAGCTGACTGCCAGCGGCCAAACCACTTTCAAATATTCAGCATCCTTCGGTTTTGCGTGTCCTGGGCAGGCATCCCGTCTAACCGTAGCTGGTCGGCTGTGTGGAGGCTATGGAAGCACACCTGATGCTTCTTCCCTCTGCGCACCTGGGAGCGCAAACGCAATTCGCTAGCCGCTGCCCTATAAAGCTCTCCTAAACTGACTGATTTTTGTTTGTTTGAAGGGGTGGAAAAGGGACATCGTGGCCAGACCCCGCTTGTGTAATAGTATCAGTTGAGATGCAATATTGTGTGTATGACTCCATATACCACAGGTATTTACAATTACCTTTTTAAAGAAAACTCTTGATTAAAACCATTTGCCAACTGCTAAATGTACTATGGTGTATAAATAACGGTGTTGAAGATTTTCAAAAAACACTGTTGCATGGGTGATGCGAACAGAGTGCAAGAAATCCCCAGGACAACAGCGCTGGTTCACACGGGGAGAATCAGTTGGAATTCACAGCTTCAGAGCCTGGTCATCATCCCCCACATCACTAGGCTTTCTGAAGATATTTTCAGCTAGAGCATTCTTTGAATAATGGTTAGTGAAACAAAATTAAAGGTCTCTAACAGGAGTTTTAATGCAGCAAAGCAGAATGTTGCACAATTCAGAGACAAAATAGCTCCAAGTGAACTTGAAGCGTTTCTTTCCATACTTTTGTGTCGTGCCCCTAACCCTCGAGTTGCAATTTTACGGTAGTTTTAAGTTGAGAAACATGCAGCTGCCAGCAGCACGGCTCCTGCCTTGTTGCACTTCCCACCTGCAGCCGGGACAAGCCGTGGTCCGATGCTGTGGCATTAGCCAAGGCTCAGGCAGGGAGCCCAGAGCGGCAAGTAACCTGCCGGAGCTGAGAGGGGAGGTGGATGGGAATTCCTCTTTTGGAGACAGCTTCTCGGTGCTGCTATAACCCTGCTAAGAATTCATTCTACAGAAATTCAGTTGTCCTAAAATCAACAGAGCAACAGTACTGCTTCTTTTACCCCTATCCTGCAAAATCCTGATGTTTCCTTCATCCTCGATTTGGTTTGAAGTAACCTTTGTGTGGAACTCAACCAACCAAATTGAATAATTTTTAGGTAGGGCTGGTTTTCAGAAGAATTAGCCACAGGTAGTGACTTTTTGCTTTTCACATGTACCTCCTTTGTTTTCTGCTGACAGAAGGTGGGGAGGACAGGATGATGCAGGCAGGGCAGGCATTGCTACGGCAACTCCAATTTAGAGCAATTGAAGCTGCTGTGTAACTGTACCCTCAGTGGGGATGGGTGCACATACCCAACCATCCGTTCTCCCTCCCCCCGCGTTTGTAGGAGTTTGATTTTCTGAGCTGTCTTTCTCTTTCTGCATGATAAACACGTTAGAAAGTTATGGGTGGGAGGAGGAGCTGAGAAGAGGTAGAGAAAGCAGCACTGATAAGGCCCTTGTCACAGCCTCATTTTCACAGAAGACCAGGTGAAACAATGTATGTTTATCTGAAGGTGCAAGGCTGGAGCTTTACACTAGGATTAGGGCTTCTATTTGAGTCCGGGAACTTGTCACAGAGAGCAGTTGGGGAAATGCAGTAGCAGAGTGCTACGGGAGTTGTTGCAGAATTGCGCTGCTGGTCGGTGATGGGACCGGACGTTTAAATAGGTCACGGGCTCAAAATTTGCCCATCTCAAAAAGGCTGTTTTACTGATAAGAGGGTTGGGAAAGGGGGCGGGGAGGAGGCTTCTATCAACACCTTGCCGTGGCAGCGGAGTGCCACTTAGCTAGGACAAGCTGCTTTGCTGAGTACTGATTTATGTCTGGTGCGACTTTCACCGGGATGCCTGGCAAAGTGTCTGTCCAGTTCCTCCCGCCTCAAGAGCTGAAAGGCTTTGTAGCAACTCGGGACCGTTTCAAGGTTTATCTTAACGAGTGCTGCTAAAAACTAGCGCTGACACGTTTCCTTGAAAATGCTCAACTGTAGCCTTTTGTGGCTGAATTGCTTAAGAAGCAGCATCTGAGCCACCCATTCTCCAGCGGTGGGGGCAGGCAGCTGGTGGTAGCAACGGCTCAAGCCGTCCCCAGCACTCTATTTCTGCTCATGAGTCAGATCTCCACAACTTCTAGTCATTTTGTGCTTTGATATAAAATACAGAGCTATTCATTTGTCAGATTATTCATCTTGTTCCTGAAGGCAGGTTTTTGAGGTTTTTGTTGTTTTTCTTTTTTTTTTTTTTTCCCAGAGGTTATTCACCCTGGCACCTCCACATCAGAGCAGCTTGTCCAAAACAAATCTGTTTTCTCAATGTCGTGCTGTAGCCCAGTAGCTCATAATGAGTCCGGAGTGTTCTTCCTGAAGTGTAGGAATGTGCTCACTGGTTAAGCAAACCAGGCAAATCTAGTTAGCCATGGAGCAGGGAAATCTGCAGTCGGTTACAAGAAAACAAAGGCAGGAGGCCAGCTTTCACGTTTCAGGCTTTGTCTGGATAAACTGAACAGCAGTGCCTTCAAAACTGAAATGTGTCAGCAGCTTGCCTTGCTCATCTTAAATAACTTAATTGTTCTCCCAAAGACGACTTTGGGAGATAAGTCATGCTTCTCTGATTGTGAAGCACTGAACAAAAAATAAACCCATTGACTGAAATTTGGTCCCCTGTACGAATTTACTGACTCAGTGTAGTACATCAGTCAACTGAAGCAGAGCTGGACCACTGTGGAAAATCTGTTTGATAATCTGATTCATTTTAATTGAATGCTCTTTCCCTCTAGATGTAACAGAGCTTTTCTTGATTTAATGGAGGTCAGGATGACAATTCAGCTAATTCTTTGAGACTGAAAAGTGCAATGTTGGGGGTTTCTTTTTGCTTTACCACAGCAAGAAAGTACAATGAATCCATTGGCTATCAGCTCATCTGCTAACAAAAGAAAAGAGTCTTCACTGGGTCATGGCATTAGTCATAAATTTGGGGTGTTTATCAAGAAAAGAACCTAATTTTTTTTTGGCAGCTTTAATTGGTGTTCCCTATCCTTATTTTTAAAGCTATATAACTATAAAGCTTAGTTTTCTTTCTGGTGCAGATTTCAGTGCCTTCAAGTTGGATTTGCATTCTCCTTCACACGTGGAAGGAGATGTGTGAGTTGTATTGGATTCTTGACTATATAAACTAGGCTATTTATCCTAGCCAGGATGGACTGAAGTGAAAAACTGGAAATCTGTCACTGACTCCTTCCCCTATTCTCTCTTTCCTTTCCCAAATATCCCTTCTCCTCATGGGTCTGGTTGGGAACCACAGTGGGAACAGTGAATCAGGACTATCAAGGCACTGCAGATGTTTAAAATTAGAGGCCAATTCTACCTCTGTCTGGTTCTCTGGATCCTTCTGGCAAAACCCCACGTGTGGAGGAGTGGCTCTGCCAAGGTTCCAGCAGATGCACTGTGTCCAGCTCTCCCTCCCTGAGGGCCCCCAAGCCGTTGACCCAATTCTCCAGGGTATTAAGTAGATGGGGGAGGAGGGAGAGGGCAGCCCAACAGGGAGGGTGGTAGAGTAGGACAGCCCCCTCGATGAGCCTGTGGCATCGCCCTGCGCTACAGCAGAACCAGATCAGCCCACCCTGGGCTCCCACACCTCCCAGCGTTGATGCTTAGTTCCCAGCTCCGCCCGTCAAGTGGTACCGGTACCCATCTGGAAGCTGATGGCATGTGGGGATGAGCAGGCTTAGACGGTAAAGGTGCTAAAAACACTCCTAAATCCTGGAAATCCTATGCCTCGTTAAAACTGCACTTATGCCTGCTTCACTTTATAACTCATCCCTGTCAACACAGCTAAGATCATCAGTCCGGTGTCTCCACATAAATACTTGCTGTTTCCCTGGAAGGTCAAGGGGCCTTGGCCACAGCTCCTCTCCTACCTTCCTGTTTTGACTGAGGGAGGACAGGGCTTGGAGGGAAGGTTGTAGCAACCACACTGTACACAGGCGCTGCTTCTGAAACATAAGACTGGGCAAAGCACTCAAGAATAGCACTGGGTGAGGGCTTTTGGCAAGTTGCAACTTAGCTAAAAATGAGGTTCTGAGGTAGCCAAATCCATTCATAAATTGGAAGCAGTTTTGTGGAATAGTTTCAGGCAAAACAAATGGCAAAGCATTTCATTTTGGGCACTGGCAGTACAAGCTGAGGAATCAAAGAATTATTAAAGCAGTTGGAGGTAGCAGTTGCCTTTCCCTGAATAGCCCGCTGGTAAGGAAATCCACATGGGTGGTGGGAAACCAGATTCAGTCCTCCACTCAGCCTCTGGGGATTAAATTCATATCACACAGCTCAGGGAAATAACATGATCGTGGGGTATGTGATACCTAGAGAGAGGCAAGAAGAAACACGCACAGGCTGGAGCAGGAGGAGCACCCTCCCCATGGGAAAGCACACTGCCCACCAGCCCCACAGCTCTGGATGCTGAAGAACTTGGTATGGCCTCCAGCCAGGAGGGAGAGAGACCCATTTCCCCAAATCTTTAACTACCACAAAGTAACCCTTGTGAGTGCCCAGACAGTCTGGGTTTTGTTTAAGAAGAAATTGCTGGTTTGAATCAGGGAGAGAGGAAAAGTTCATCCAGGGCTCCTGTATCCAGTCTGAGTGACCAAGTAAAAAAAATCTGTCTTGCATAAGTAAAAACACTGTTTTGGCACCTTGAATTACTTTTTACACCCAAGATAGAAGCTGAACAGAGTAACTTTTCCTTGTACAGGTCTAACAGCTTCTAGTGCTCTCATAGGATCATTTATGCCAAAAAGTTCCTCACACAAGGATGTGCATGCACAAACTATTTCAATCACTCTTAACGGTGCTGGCTGCACCCCTGCTGCAGGCTGCCTGCCTTCAGAGCTGCTGTAGGCTACTGTTAAGTCAAAAGAGATAATAAGTGATTTGTCCCCATGATGGGATCTGGATCTCTCAGCTGCAGCAAGGGAGGCATTACACACAATTTAATTCCCCATTTTCCTCCTGGTCATCGCTGGCTTCTGAAACATGATCGGCTGGAGACAGCAATGATTTCAAGTGACTTGTAAAGAAAGTCACCTGGCCTGACCCAAAGCTACAGAATAGAGCATGTATTGAGAGTACTAGGGAGAAGTGACATCTGAGATCTCT